CCAAGACCATGTGGGATCTAATAATCTAATCATTACCATCAAATGTTAAGACAAGTGGGCAGAGCTGTGTCTTTAAGGCAATACACCTGAAATTTCAACAACTCCAAAGTGGTGCATGCCAAAACCTGCCAATCTTTACTATAAGCTCTGTAGAGCTGTTTCAGGAGTTCTTGCCACACAAGCCATTATGTCAGTAAGAAGCGGAGGAGGAGAGCCAAAGGGTGGAGAGAACTTACTATACAAGACTAACAAGTGTAAGAGAAGGGAGTAGAACATTTCTAGAAGCTGAAACTAGACAGCAATATGGGATGAATTGTGTCCCAGAATTCCTATGTTGACATCCTAATCCCCATCACCTCAGAAGGTGAATATATTTGGAGATAGGATCTTTAAAGAGGAAGTTACATTAAAATGAGGTCATTAGGGTAGTCCCTAATTCCAAATTATTGGTGTCCTTATAAAAAGAGGAAACTAGGACACAGACACACACAGAGGAGACACCATCCGTGAATCACAAATTGATAAAGCATTTGCCAGAATTGTTGCTCTTATGCTGGAGAAGATGGCCATCTACAATCCAAAGAGAAGCTTCTCAAGAAACCAACCCTGGGAACACCTTGATTTTCGGACTTACAGTCTCCAGAACTGTGAAGAAATAAATTTCTGTTGCTTAAGCCACCCAATCTGTGGTACTTTATTATGGGAGCCTTAGAAAACTAATACAAGGTCCCAAATACCAAATGGCTTCCAAGTTTTTAAGAAGGTTGTCAGATTTATCCTGAACATTCCAGATATCATCCAACCTTAAAGATGGTCTCTAATATTGGACATTAACTATAATTGAAAAAATCAATTTTTAAAAATTTAGGGGGGCCCTGACTGGTTTGGCTCAGTGGATAGAGCATCAGCCTGTGGACTCAAGGGTCCCGGGTTCGATTCCGGTCAGGGGCACGTACCTTGGTTGCAGGCAACATACCCAGTAGGAAGTGTGCAGGAGGCAGCTGATCAATGTTTCTCTCTCATCGATGTTTCTAACTCTCTACCCCTCTCCCTTCTTCTCTGTAAAAAAAACCAATAAAATATATTAAAAAATTAGGGGGAAAGCCCGGCTGGTATGGCTCAGTGGTTGAGCATCAACCCAGGAACCAAGAGGTCACAGTTCAATTCCTGGTCAGGGCATATGCCCAGGTTGCAGGCTCAATCCCCAGTAGGGGACATGCAGGAGGCAGCCAAATGATGATGTTTCTCTCTCTCTCTAAAAAATTCAATAAAAACGTATTTTTTATTTTTTTAAATCCTCACCAGAGGAACGAGGATATTTTTTTCCATTAATTTTTTTGTTTGTTTGTTTGTTTAGCGAGAGTGGAAGGGAGGGATGAAGGAAAGAGAGAGAGAGTGAGGAAAGAGAGAAACATTGATATGAGAGAGACACATCGATTGGTTTCCCTCTGTTCACAGCCTGGGATTGAACCTACAACCAAGGTACATGCCCTTGACCACAAATCAAACCTGCAACCCTTTGGTCCAAAGACCAATGCTCTATCCACTGAGCCAAACCCACTAGGGCAATAAAAACTTCTTTTTTTTAATTATGGAAAAAAGATGGTCTCTCACCTTACTGTGGGAAAGTAAGAAAAGTCTGAGGGGTCCCGTCATTAAAGTGATTACAGTCTAGTTGGGAAGACAAAACTAAACACCAAACAGAATGTCTACTACTTGCTCCGTAGATGACAGCCATGTGAATTTTATAAGAGCCATAGATGAGAGAGGATAAATTCAAAAAATTAATAAGCCCAGGAATACATAAACAGTATGTTTATATGTGTGTCACTGTGTATATGTTGGCACTTTATTGTCAATTATACTTTAGTTTATGGTAATGTTTCTTAAAGTCTGTTTCCACTGAGTACCTGCAACAGAATCACTAGGTACTTATTAAAAATGCAGATTCCTAGCCCCACTGCAGACTTTTTTAAGCAGTAATTGTTCACCCTGATAATCATTCAACTGAAGAACAATAGGATTTATCCTTATTGTCCCCCTGTTTGCTGCCAATGTCTCTGGTCAAACAGTAATGCCTTCTACACCTGCATGTCCAAGATAGGAAAGTCTTATCAGGTCAGGCCAAAGTTAAACCAAGGGAAGAAAAGTGCCTTAATAGAAAATGGGACTATGAAGAGTTCCCTGTCCTGGTAGCTGCCATAGTTCCAACTTTCTTAAGTAGCAATCAGGGCACATGCCTGTGTTGCAGGCTTGATCCCCAGAGTGGGGTGTGCAAGAGCAGCCCATCAATGATTCTCGCTCATCATTGATGTTTCTATCTCTCTTCCTCTCTCTGAAATCAACAAAAACATATTTTAAAAAATAAAGAAACCAAAACAGAGGCCAGAGAAATTAAATGACTTACTCAAAGTGATTCAATCTGATCTAGAACCTAGGTATGCCTTTGGCTACTTGTCAAGTGCTCCTCCCACCGACCCACCCTGATTCATTTAGTTATTCCGTTTCCTAATATCTTCCAGTGTCACATCTCTCATAAGACTCACCTATGTTACAGCTTTTTTTCCTTCTAAATTTGACATTTTTGTTGTAGGGAAAGGAGATCAGGTGAGATATCCTTTCCTCCACAGATATTCTAAACACAAAACTAGTCAAAATATCTAATAATAGAGAACAGTCTGGGTCTATTTCTCTGAGAGTTATTTTGACTTGTTAATGTAGCTCTGCCACTGTATGGCTGCTCCAACACAAAGGCTGACGTTTGAGCCTCTGTGACACAAAGGAAAAGGGAAGGGTCTGAAAGTTGATAAAAGAATATGCTTGTCCCTTCTCTTTGTCCAAGCACAAGGTCTCTTTAGAGAAGAGTGAGCTCTTCTGCCACCTTGTGACAGAGAATGAGAATAGTGGGCCCTCAGATCCTTTCCAATCCCCCCCTCCAGGTGGCAGCATTGCCACATGGCATCTAGGAATTCACAGAAAAAAAATGAAATAAAGTTGACAGGGGGAAGTTTCTTAAACTATAAGGGAGCAGAGAATCATGTAACCATGTTGAGGAAATAGTAACCAAAACCCATGTGCCTTACCCCTAGCAGAATCAGGCAACTGTGGCAGGGAAAAAGGAATGCGATCATGCTGCTCTGGACCAGTAAGACTTGAAGTACTTATGTTCCCTCTACTTAGCTGGCCTCACTTCTCTGCTCCCTTCCATAGCAAAATTCCTTGAAAAGATTATGTACACATATTCAGCTCCAACTCCCTCTCAGCCTCTCCTACTTCCACCACTCTGCTGAAACTGTTCTTATAGATTTGTCAAATATAGTGGACAGTCTGTTTTCATCATACACGCCTCTCAGCATTTGACCAACTGATCATTTCTTCCTTGAAATACTCGCCTTTCTTGGCTTCTATGGCATTCACTCTCTCGGTTTTCTTAGCTCAAATGTCACCTCCTCAGAGAAGTCTTCCCTGACCACCCTATTTAAAGTGGCCTCTGCCAGTAACCCTTCATCTCATATTCTGTTCTTTGCTTCACAACAACTATCACAATCTCTAATTATCTTATATATGTATTTGTATATTGTTTATTATTAGCCCTTTGCACTATTTTATTTTTCACCAGGTTTGTTGTCTGCTTTCCATCTTTTCATGTGAACATAGACTTGATCTTGCTCACTGCTAGAATAGTGTCTAGCTAGCACATAGTAGGCCCACAATAAATACTTGCTAAATGAAAGGCACTGTGGCTGAATGTTCAGCACTTCTCCTCCTTCCAATTTCAGGCAACATGTTGCCCTTTGGTGACAAATATCTTTCCCTTTTTGTTTTCCAATATTTCTCTTAATGCTCTATTTAGCCATATTTCAACCTGAGTTAAAATGTCAGGCAGCAGGGTAACATTTAAATCATGATTTGACTCAGATCTAATGAATTCCCTCATGGAATGTCCCTATTCATCATTATCAATCGGAGTGTTGGCCTCTGGAACCTTCTTTCACATAGCCAAACCTATGTTTACTCCAATGGAGTACATTTACAGTGGGTAGAGAGAATACAGAGGCTCTGGGCTTAGGCAGAGGACCTAAATACATCCTCATTTCTGCTTTATGATCCATCTACCTATACTGTCACAAAGTCTACATAGTATTATTGAAATATGCAAGTTTTAAATATCTCCAACAACAGTTATCTGTCTAGGAAAACCTTCCCAAACTGCAGGCAGTCTCTCTCATCTAGGGTATTTAGCTCTTCTTCACAACCTCTCAGCCCAATAGTCATGGGAAGGTGGTTTACCTATACTCACTTCACTATTCAGGGGTGTGAAAATGTACAAAACTAGACAGGTATGTCTGTGCTGATGTAATTCTATGTGTGTAACTGTGAATGAATACTAGAGATCATTTGGTCAGAATATTTGCAGAGGAAAAAATTGAGATGCGGAGAAATCAAGCAATTTTCTCAAGAGGACGTAGTTAATAATAGCCTGTATTAGAACCCAGTTCTCGTAATTCCTAGTGCAGTGCTTTCTCCAGTGCAACTCACCAACTTATTCAGTCCGAGTTTCCTGCATTACTCTGTAAATCACTTTCCTTATTTGAAATCTCTTTATCTCTGTATGTTGATGTGTAAATCTATATGCCTGTCTTAGTGAGCATGCTTGTGAATGTCTACGTGTCTACCTGCAAGTATTTATAAAGCATATCACTGGGCGTTTATGCCCTTTCTCCTAGGGAAACCTCTGGCTAATTACGGTTTCTTATGTTGGCAGCAGTGATTAGGGAAGACCTTCTGAGTCAATCATTAACAAGCAGACTTAGTCCTCTCTCCAATCAGCTCTATTCCTGGGTCTTCATGAAAGGGGGCAAGATAATTAGGGTGGAACCAGACTCTCCCAGGGTCAAACTTGGTTCTAGGGCAGTGAAAATGCCTAGAGACAAAGCTATAAGGGGCAGTGACAGATCAGCAGCATACTGTTTCTGCAAGGAGCATGTGCTCAAGCTGACATGGATACCATCTTGGTCTTCAGCCTAATCATTACATCCTATGATGCCAACAAGAAAGGTAAGTACTACTCTAGCCTAATCTCCTGGAAAATCCAAAGAGAGACCTAGAAAGTGTTTGGGGTCTCTTCTGGCAAATAGAGATATAGCCAATACTCAGTTGGCAATGCTTTCCAATCATCCTATGTGTCCTCTTGCAGGACTGCAACTTATTCAACCCAGAAAGATAGCTGTCTGTTTCATGGGTAGAAGCCTTCAGAGAATGTCTTGTTCATGTAACTAACATCAGAGTCCTTTCACATGGCTTTCTCTCCTGGAGGGTGCTGTCACAAATTCATAGTCCCTCATAAGATGTCTTCCTTTTTAAGGTGTTACATCCAAATATATGGGGATGCTCTTGGGAGGGGAGAGCTAAGAAAAGGGTGGTGTGGAGGTGAAATGGCACTATTTTCTGCTCTTTGGTAACTGTTCATTTAAAACATGATTTTTCAAAGTGTCCTAAACATTTCATCTCTATAATTAGCTTACCAGAGTTAAGGCCAAAGAGTATAATGTGCAGTAGTAGCAAATTTAGCAAATGAAAAAAACTCACAAAAAAAAGAAGAAAAAAAGAAAAAGAAAACTCACAACACCTTGTGAGTTATATGGCAAAAAGCATAAATAACTATGACCTATGGTTCCATAGAATTCAGAAAGATACCTTGTTCAAGGTTACGCTTAATAAACTTTCAAAAGTTTTAAAACAAGAACAGGAAGGAGAAGAAGTAATAACCAGTGTTTGAAGGAAAGGTTGGTTAGTCTTTCATTAATTAACTTCATTTAACTCTATTTTACCTCCCCACCCCCAAGGATAATAGATTGGTACTCAATTTTCTTCATACTAGTCTAACTTCTTCTTGTATATACTTTTAAGTCTTTGGGAAAAATTTTTATATTACCAATTGCAAGCTTTGAGAGAAGGAACTACATTATTTTGTATCTCCCTCTCCAGTGCCTAAAATTCTAAACAGTAAAGCCTGACCTTTTTTTTTTCACTTCCAGAACTCAGAGATAGCCATTGTCAAGTGGAACAGCTCCCTGGGCTCTTCTCAACGGGTATGAGAAGCACCAGGGATGTGCTAATGTCAGGTATGGAATAAGCTCTCCCTTCCTGAAAAAAAAAATCACTTTGCCAGAAAGTTTTTACTTTTAAAAGATGCCTATCTCTCCCATTCCTAGCTCAGATCTCAAATACCCTATTTTAAAGATATGTATTCCCCCCAAAAGCTTTCTGAAAACCAATTTTTTAAAATATATTTTATTGATTTTTTTACAGAGAGGAAGGGAGAGAGAGAGAGTTAGAAACATCGATGAGAGAGAAACATCGACCAGCTGCCTCCTGCACACCCCCTACTGGGGATGTGCCCACAACCAAGGTACATGCCCTTGACCGGTATCAAACCTGGGACCCTTCAGTCCACAGGCCGACGCTCTATCCACTGAGCCAAACCAGTTAGGCCTGGAAACCAATTTTTGAATTAACTCTTATTAGCTAACGCATGGCTATATAAATCAAAAAAGGGGGTGAAGAACAAGAAGGAGGCAGTACTCAACCCTCTCTGCATTAGAGAAGACAATCTATGAGCATTTCTCTGGGCTGAACTTACTGCAATTACCTATCTTCATGGGATTCATGGTAGGAAGAAAGAAAGGCAGGTTTGTACATTAAGTACCATAAGCACATAGTGAGGGGAAAATCAACTAAAAACAGACAAAAATAACGCAGTGGAGTTTAACGAGTCAATACAGTAAGTAGTTCAGCCATTCAGATTAAGAACCAGCTTCCTGTCCAGGCAGTGTGGTTCAGTGGTTGAGTGTCAACCCAAGAACTGGGAGGTCACAGTTTGATTCCCCATCAGGGCACATACCTGGACTGGGTGCTCAATTCCCAGTGAGGAGCGTGCAGGGGGCAGCTGATCAATGATTCTCTCATCATTAATGTTTCTATCTCTCCCTCTCTCTTCTGTTCTGAAACCAATAAATGTATGCCAGCTTCCTTTGTTCTCTTTGGCTTATCTCTTTGCAGAAGCTCAAGCAGAAGACAACAGGTCCACCTTCGTCCAAATTCTGACTGTGGCTACCCTGCAGTGCCTTGCCTCTGGGAGCAAAGTAAAAGTCAGCCTTGAATATTCAGAGAAAAGGCCAAAGGTCAAGCATACTCTAAAGAACCTGCGAGTTATTGCTGCTCCCCATAGAAACAGCACTGCTTTCCCAAGCTGTCACCTAACCCCCACATCCAACTTTCAGAACGGATCTCTTCTAACAGGCAAAGGTGAGATTGGAAGATGAGGTGAAGGTAGGCATGACTTTTACTTATAACCCTGAATGCAGGTAGAGCTTAGTAGCAGCTAATGCCTCAAGGAAATGGATTATCCTTTCCTTTGGCAAATCTATGTCCTCTCTGAGACTCAATTTTCTAATCTCTAAGGGCCCTTCTAGTCCTGACATGCGGCAATTTTCACATGCTCTCATTTTTGATGGGTCGTCTTTCACAATGGTTATTTGATTTTGATTTACTCTGAATGCACATAGTAAAATGTTCAAACAACACAGGTTTCCAGTGAAAAGTAAATCTCCCTTGTTCTACTTCCTCAGTCCTCTAGTACTCTATCCCTGAGGGAAACCCTATTAACAACTTACTGAGTTTCCTTCCAGAGATATTCTAAGCATGTATGGATGTATATATTTTAAACACATAAGTAGTATCATATCATATACACTATTCAATACCTTGCTTTTTTCCACTTAACAATGTATCATATAGGTTGTTCCATATCAATATGTATAAACTAGAGGCCCAGTGCATGACATTTGTGCATGGGTGGGGTCCCTCGGGGTGGCCTGCGAAGATCAGACCCTAGCTCACATCCCCAGCCTCATAGCACTATCTGGCACCCTGCCTTGGCCTGGTGCCACCCGCTCACCTGCTCCACCATCCCACCGTGGTCCCGCTCTCATCGGGGCCCATTGTGGCCGGCAGCACCTCCACTGTAGCCCACTGCCAGCACCGCTATGCCCGCCATGTTCCGCACCACCCCCTGTTGGTCAGCGCACATCATAGCGAGTGGTCAAACTCCAGGTCGGTCAAACTCCCGCCCGAGGGGACAATTTGCATATTAGGCTTTTATTATAGAGGACAAGTCTCATTCCTTGTAACTGTTGTACAGTATTACATTTTATGGCTATACTATCACCAGTTCCCTATGGATGGATATTTTGGTTGTTTCCAAACTCTTGCAAATACAAACAATGCTGCAAGCAATAATCTTATACATTCTTCTTTATGTGCCTACAATTTATCAATAGGATAAATTCCAAGCAGGGTTGCTGTATCAAAGTTTAATAGATATTGCTAAGTTATCCTCCACGGTGGTTGTTCGGTTTTTCACTTCCACACACATTGAGGGTGCGTGTTCCCCCACAGTTGCTGAGCAATGGCTCTTGACCTCTGCCTTAAGTTTCCCTGCTTCTGTCCTTCCTTCCTTCTCCCACCCATTCTTTCTGTCAACTAGTTTATGATCTATACATTAGTATTGGCAGTTCCCCCTACATACAGGCAATTCCCTAAAGCTACTGTTGCACTGCTGGAAAAAATTAAATGAAACTTGACACTTTTAGAGAAACTGGGGGTTCACCAGCAGAATAATGGGGAGAAACTTTTAAAACTACCATCTGTTTAGAGGACTAGAAATTGGGAAATAAGTGGATAGGTTCTTGGGATGTGGCCCAGTTATAGTAAATTATAAATCCTCACATGACATGAATGTTTTCATTCCTTTATTATACTTTCTAAAGTTCACATGGTAATCACTTTTGTGTGAAAAAAAAAAAAAAAAAACAATACAAAAAACTCTTAAAAACTTAAAAACCTCTGACAGTATTTGGGGGATTTCGGTCATTCAGTGTTAAAGCAAATTAATTCAACCAGATTGTTCTCTTCCTAACATGTGACACCCCCACCCTATGAGTCAATGATAAGTGTGATGGGGAACAGTGAACTTAAGTCATTTTGGAGTCTAGAGCACTTTGTACAGGGTGAATCTTTCTTGGATATAATGCTATGCAGTGTTGGACTCAGAGCAATTAAGATACTAGCTTTTAGAGATTTGGGACAGGGAAAACTGGGAGTTTAAGGGGAGAGATGCCAATGATCAACCTGCCCTAATTCAGCAATTTGCTTTGGGCTAGCCTAGAGTCCAGGGAAGGAGGAAAAGTTTAAGCCAGCGATTTTCAATGGGTGTGCTGCAAGAATTTTTAAGACATGCAATACCTGATTTTTAGTCAGGGGCACTGGCCTGTTTCCCTTAGATTGTTAAATTAAAAAATAGCTGTCCAGTGTGGCTGAATAAAAAATTATACCTATTTATTTTTGTCAGATCAGCAAAAAAAAAAAATCTTTTTTGGGTGTTCCCTGGAATTTTGGTAGTTTCTGTGTGCCATGAGATGGAAAAGGTTGAAAATAGCTGGTTTAAGCTAATACCCTGTCCTATTTGAGCGGTGCAAAGAAAGTAAATGGATATTTGCAGGTTAGTTTGGGGATCTAATCATCAGTCAAGATACATTTCTTAAACAATGATGAATTGCAGACACCCAATTTATGAGTGGAATTTTGAAATATTGCCCCATTTATGAGTATGAAACTGCCTATTCTGAATTCAAACTTACACTGAGTGCCAGGAAGTGACACACTCCAAGTACAGTAGAAATAAGGTACATGGTCAAATTTATAAGGTCATAGAAGAGATGCCCACTATAGACGACATCAGTTTACACAGGAGAATGTCCCAGAAACAGAAGTCAGTACGTGGAAATGTTCCCAGAGCAAAGTAGGAATCTGAAATTGTAAGGATGAGAATGGACTGCAACACAGCTGGTCATCAGAAGATGTGGGTTGACATGCAATCTAGAAAAATATAAGATGGCGACTGTTTGTTACTGTTTATGGAATTTGGCCAAGGAAAAGATCCTCTATTATAAATATTCTGATAATTCTTTCTGATGAAAGAGGACTCGTAGGTCTTTATCACGTCTGATAAGGTTTACACCATCTAGTTCCTATTCCTCAGATTCTATATTAATCAAGAAACTTTCCAATTATGCATTAGGTTTCACAAGAACCTGTAGGTTTAGAAAAGGGTATCTAGAAGAGAAAAACATCATATCTGATTCATTTGACAGACACATTCTCCTATGTAAATATTTTAATGTCATTTTAGTATATAGATTAGATTCCTTGGAATTTGACTGGTGTGAACTAATTCCTATGGTCTGTTTATCCCATGTGAAACGGAGTATAGGAGAAATATTACACAAATGTTTATTCTGATGTTAATGATCACCTTGGACAAGTCACTTAATTTCTCCAGTGCTCAGTTTCTATAGGTCAGTGATGGCGAACCCATGACACGCGTGTCAGAGGTGACACGTGAACTCATTTTTTTGGTTGATTTTTCTTTGTTAAATGGCATTTAAATATGTAAAATAAATATCAAAAATATAAGTCTTTGTTTTACTACGGTTGCAAATATCAAAAAATTTCTATATGTGACACGGCACCAGAGTTAAGTTAGGGTTTTTCAAAATGCTGACACGTCGAGCTCAAAAGGTTCGCCATCACTGCTATAGGTACAAATGAGGGGTCTGACTACATGGTCTGATTTCTATATATGTACAGCTGAGGTTTAGATCCGAAGCACAAACCCAATAGCCCTTTCAACCTGCTAGTATTATTACAGAATAGGCTCTGAAAGAGACTTCCATTTAAATACAATGCACCTAATGTTCCCTTTTTAAAATAAGTGATTTTTTAAGAAAGCAAATCATCATCTCCTAAATCATCCATTTCATAAATTTTGATTTTTGTTTCTCTCATTAAAGTGGGGCATTCATGCCCAAATATCCTTAGCCAAAGAAAAGCTAATATTGCAATTCCATCATCACTGGGAATGGAGAGCTGTATTTACAAATGTGCTCCACCTTAATGCTGTTACCTAGTAGATGAGATCTACTACTAGAGATGAACTGCCAACATGGATGGGCATTAATTCAGAAACTAGGCAAAAATAAAAATATACTGACAGATGAAGAAGCCTATTAAGTAGACTTTGCAACAGTGGCCCCAGAAGGTGGGAAGACATGCTATAGTGAAATACCATTATCCCTATGGTTAGTGGGCACAGTTCTACTTAGAAGATCTCTAGGTTTTTCCTCCTCCTCCAATCATAATATCACTTAGTGTGCAGAGTGTTTTCACCTGCTTTCTCATCTTCACATCACCCGTATGAAATAGGTAGATCAAGGATTATCCTTTATAATAAAGAGCTAATGTGCTAATTAGACTGAACAGCAGAACGACCATCTGGGGCTGCAAGGGCCGGGCCCCTTGCATGAATTTCGTCCATTGGGCCTCTAGTTTTATTATAACCATCTTACAGACAAGGAGACCAAAACTCAGAGAACTTAGGTGACTTGTCCAAAGTGAAATTTGCTTATCTTCAGCTCATCAGTCTCATAAAACATATGTTATCACTTCAGAGACCTGACTGGCACTATGCTGAAAATACTTCACATAATTTCCTTGTTTTTTTCTTTTGAAACTGTGGCTCTTTGTCTCTATCTTTGCTAACACTGCCTTCCTGATTACAATGAAATCAAGGATGAGTCCTTACCCTGTAATTTCATGTACAGTGTCTGGTACTGTGGCCACTGGTCTCTGAAGTAAGGAACTATCATTTTCACATGGACTTAATCAAGACATGGGAGAGTAATTTAGAAACATCAAGTAGGACTTACAGACCTCAATTTAATAAGCAATGATAAGAGACCATTCAAAATGGAATAGGAACCACTGTCTGAATTGGATTAGGTCAATTCCGGAGGCAAGTGAAGTTCATTCCAGACTACAGCCAGAATTTGTCTGCATCATCTCATCACTTCCACAGATGGTCTGAGTCACCATCATCACTCCATTGGATTTCTGCAATAGCTTCCTAACAGGTGACTCTGCTTCTACCCTTGCCCCGCTACAGTCTCTTTCAGTGATCCTTTAAAAATAAAACCATCATGTCATTCCTCTGCTCAAATCTTGTAATGGATCCCCATTTCTTTTTTAAAAATATGTTTCTATTGACCTGAGAGAGAGAGGCAGGGAGAAGGAGAGAGAAAGAGAGAAACATCAATCGGTTGCCTCCCCAAAGCACTCAACCAGTGATCAAACCCAGGTATGTGCCCTGACCAGGAATCAAACCCGGTGACCTTTCAGTGCACAGGATGGGAAAACGCTCAACCACCCGAGCCACACCGGGCAGGACTGGATCCCCATTTCAATCAGAATAAAACCAAAGTCCTTAAACTAGCCTACAAGGCCCTCAGTGATATGGGTCCATTTCCTTCAGTGGTTCTCAACCTTGGCTGCACATTAGAATCACCTAGGAATCTTTCTAAAATCCTGATTTCTGGGCCTCATCCTCCGGAAATTGTTTCTTTGTTACTAATGTTGTGGCCCCACCCCACAACAAAGAAACAGAATTTCCAGAGGATGAGGCCCAGAAATCAGGATTTTAAAAAGATTCCCAGTTGATTCTAATGTGCAGCCAAGGTTGAGAACCACTGCTTTAGATCCTTATCTCCTACTCCTGCCCCCTTGGTCACTCTACTCCAATCTCACTGGCCTCCTTGCTTGTCCTCTAAAACTGTAACATGCCAGACATCTCTGCCTATACTCTAGCTCTCGCCTCTGCCTAGGTCACTACAACAGGTCCTTGAATAACATCATTTCGTTATAACATTGATGGGGAAAAATTGATTTCCACTAGGGCAGTGATGGTGAACCTATGACATGTGAACTCATTTTTTTTGGTTGATTTTTCTTTGTTAAATGGCATTTAAGTATATAAAATAAATACCAAAAATATAAGTCTTTGTTTTACTATGGTTGCAAATATCAAAAAATTTCTATATGTGACACGGCACCAGAGTTAAGTTAGGGTTTTTCAAAATGCTGACACGCCGAGCTCAAAAGGTTCACCATCACTGCACTGGGGCCACTGTCTGTGTGGAGTTTGCATGTTCTCCCCAGCCTGCAAGGGTTTCCCTCCGTACACTGGTTTCCTCTCACACCCCAAAGACGTGCATATTACGTGACTTGGTGTATCTGCATTGCTCTAGTCTCCTTGTGGGTGTATGTGAGGGTGCCCTGAAGTGGAAGAGCTCCCTGTCCAGGGTTTTCCCCCGCTGAGTGGCTGGGATAGGCTCTGGCCACCCTCAACCCTGAACTGGCATAAGCAGCTTAGAAAAGAATTATCTTGCTTTTTTAAAATTAATATTTATTAAATATATGTATAGTTCACATTTATTTCAAAGTTTAATATTATAAGTGTTTGGGGTCTTTAGAAATTTGGTGACTTTTTTTTTTATCAGAAATATGCCATAGGAACCCAATTCTTGTTTATATCAGTTAGCCTATGGGACAACTGGTTTTGTTATATGTCATTTCGCCTTAAAGTCACAGTTTCCAAACCTAGCGACAACATTAGTGAGGACTTACTATACCTTCCAGGTATCTGCATGGCTAGTCCCCTCACCTCCTTCAAGTCTTGGCTCAATTCTCACCTTCTCAATGAAACCAGCCTACACTGCATGTTGCCAAACCACTGCCCACCTGCACCGCATCCCTAGACTGCTCCCTTAATTTCCTCTACTTTTTAAAATATTATTTTTATTTTTTTATTGATTTAAGATAGGAAGGGAGAGGAAGAGGGAGGGCGAGATAGAAACATCAATGATGAGAGAGAATCATTGATCGGCTGTCTCCTGAATGCCCCACACTGGGATGGAGCCCGAAACCTGGGCATGTGCCCTGACCGTGAACCAAACAGTGACCTCCTGGTTCATAGGTCAATGCTCAGCCACTGAGCCATGCCAGCTGGGCACCTTCCTCTACTATAATTTTTTTTCCTTTGTAGCACATACCATAAAATTTACTCTATTTATTGTGGTCTGCTTCCCCCTCCTCCCCTCAACCCTTTCTCTCCTTTACTCCTTCCCTGGCTAGAATGCATCCAACTGATATATCCAAAGTAATGAGTCTCTGGCACATAATAGATACAGTATTCATTTTTAATTATTTGCAGAATGAATGAAATTGAGGCGTGCATGTAGCTGGGTGGTCTTTCCTTCTTCTTCCAACTCCTTTGGCTTTCCCCGATCCCCTCTCAGAGTAATTGACTTACACTCCACCAGACAAACTTGCAGCAGTCATTAAGGCAAATGATAACATTTCATGCTCCTCCTTGGACTTTGGAGCCATCTTTTTAAAAGATGGAAACTTTGAACAGTGTTACACCCTCCATCCTTATTATTATTATGGCCTTAAGAATGATAGGCAAACAAGATATGGTCTACTCCTCCGCTTTGATCCTACATTAGTCAAAGGCCTCCTGGGGATTTTAATCCATATCTCTTATTAGTATCTCTATTCTCATTTACTCTTGGCATTATTTGGAGCTGACACCCTAAACCTATGGACAGGTCAATGGGGCCACAGTGAGAAGTTTAGTATCATCTTGGGCAGAGCTAGGGTCTTTTGTCAGATAAAATCAAATGCAGGATAAAGTTTTCTCAGTTGTCCTTTCATTCTTTCTTTTTTTATAGCTTTTTTACCAGGGATCTTCCAATGTAAGGTCTACCCAGCAATGAGGACTTCATTAGAGGCTTTTCCCACCACTACCACCTCCATAACTCCAGGGAATAAAGAAGGAGAGAAAACTACAAGTATTGATGATTTTTCTACCCCTTTGAAACAAGGTACAGAATAAGTAATGGTGAGACAAGAACAGAAAGAAAAACATTTTTAACCCCAGCATTAGCCTGGGTCTCCTAGGATTTTCCTGGAGGTTGAGAAGTTACACAGAGTTTCTATTAGAAAAACCACTCCATTTCTTATGGAAAAAATCAGTTTCTCTATAAAGAAGGTCCCAGAAATGTTTGTAGTTTAATACTTGATAATAATAAATGACTGTTACTGCTTTATGTATTTACTATTCTACACTTTTTTATCATTGCTTTAGAGTGTACTCTTTCTATTTATAAGAAAAGTTTGCTGTAAAACAGTATGTTGTGTTAAGCCAGCAGCAGCCTCATACATCCTGTGTTTACTGTCTCTTGATTATACCCTTTTCTCTTGTGCTTGATTTAATCTCAGGTTGTTTTATAAATTTTGTGTAGCTTAAATGTACAGTGTTGTACCAAGTCTACAGTAGTGTACAGTAATGTCCTAGATCTTCACATTCACTCACCCACTCACTCCCTGACTCACCCAGAGCAACTTCCAGATTTGCAAGCTCCATTCATGGTAAGTGCCCTGCATAGATATACCATGTTTTATCTTTTACACTGTATTTTTACTGTACCTTTTCTATACACAAATACCAATGTGCTACAATTGCCTACAGTATTCAATACAGTAACGTGCTGTACAGGAGCAATACACTATACCATATAGCCTAGGTGTGTAGTAGGCTATACCATCTAGGAAGTGTAAGTGCACTCTCTCATTTTTGCTCAGTGATGGAATTGCCTAATGATGCATTTCTCAGAATGTATCCCGGTTGTTAAGGGGCATATGACTGTACTAATAGTGCTTACCTCAACACCAATGAGCTAATCTTGCACCCAGATTTGGGGACAGAATGAAATGTATTTATGTGGGAGGTAATACCAGCCACTGCATGTATAGACAGGCGACATTTACACACTAAGCAATTATTATAGTGATGGCAACAACCAAGTGCATGTTTCATCTGCACGGCTTTTAGAAATGACCTTCCCTAAATTGGCTAGAACTCAAATTCTGTAAGATTCTGGCTTGGGTTACATCCTAGTTCCTACCAGGAGAAAAATAAATATGAGACTAGTAATAACAAGATGCATATAAGCCATTTGTCCCCAAATTTGACTTATGACCCAGGAGCAATGCCAACTCACCTTTGTTCCTCCTATGCCCCACTAAAGCCACGAGGAGCAAAGGAGGGTGATTTTCTAGGTAGAGACCCTGAGAGGGCTCCTGGTGAAAGAAGAGTTTAGAATTCCTTGGGCACTCCCACCCCTTTCCTCTCTTGAGAGCAGTGCAAGAATGGGTCCTACTTGATCATGGAAAAATCCCAAATCCCAGGGAAGGTGACACTCTGAGATTGGAGCAGAGCCCATGATGCCCACCCCACTCCTGACTCCAAGTCTGAACTGGAAACTGGGCCTCCGCCTCTGAATCTAGCTGGACCCCTCTTAGTCATGTGAGCCAAGAGTCCTTCAAATCAGAGGGTTGATCTCTTCCCTCTCTCAAATTCTCTTTCTCCCTCTTCTACTCCACTCTCTCCTTTTAGACACAGATGAAAATCTAGAGAAGAGGCAAAAATGGAGCATTGTGGTCAAATTTCTGATTGCTGGCACTCTGTTGTTCAGTGGAATCGCTATTACAGTGTTTGTCATTTTTGAAGTTCCATGTCCTGTAAGTTTGCTGATGTATTGGGTCCTTGGGCTTGATCTATAAAAATCTCCTTTTCCAGAGGCAGGTTGGCATAATAAGAAAAACATACTGTAGACTTTGGAGTTTGGACAGACCTACCACTCACATTCACTGAGTGGCTTTGAGAAAGTTGCTTGACTTGTCCAACCTCAGTAGTCTCATCTTTAAAATGGGACTAATGATATTTGCCTCTTATGGTGGTTATGAGGTTAACTGAGATCCTGTGTGACAGGTGCCTGGCACATAGAAGGTCCTTGCTAAATGTGAGTTCCTTTCCTTTGCTGTACTTGTACATTCTCTAGAGAGGATAGAGCCAATAGGACAGAATAGTTTCTTTAGAAGAGATAATTTTCTTTAAACGGCCCAACATGAGGTTTGGAAGATAATCAAATGCATACCAGCCACCTAAAGTTAATACCAGTCATTTTTCTCCCCTCAGTGTCAATGCCTAAGAACCAGAGAACTATGCCAATGCCGGCGATTGTGGGGAAGGCAAAGGAAGGAAGGCCAACAACCTGAGGCAGCTGAATCCCAGCCTCACTCTCAGCCAGAGAAGGAAAGTGTTCTCTGTATGGTTTGTGCATTTGCTCGGAGAAAATGGGTCTAACATATAAGTGCTGGGAGACAGGAAGCTGCTTCTGTTACGAAGCAAATGTGGTTAATTGTTTTGTGTGTCAGGAAATAGGTAGGTATTTGTATGCTATTTTCTTACCATTAGCCCAGCCATAACACGGTAGGGTACATACTGAAAATGCAGATTCCTGGGCCCCAGATATAATGAATCAGGAATTTTTAACATGATCCCTATGTAGAGGTGAATTTACTGTAAAATTAATGATGCTTAAGCTTCAGGAACCATGGGACCTTGTATCCAATTTTGTATTTTAAAAAGTATATCATTTTTCTTTTTTAAAAAATGTTTTATTGATTTCATTTTTTGTTGTTACTAATCCTCATCTGAGGAAATTTTTTCCATTGATTTTTAGAGAGAGTGGAAGGAAGGGGTAGAGACAGAGAGAGAGAAACATTGATGTGAGAGAGACACATCAATTGGTTGCTTCCCATGTCCGCCCTGACCAGAGCAGGGGATGGAGCCTACAACTGAGGTACGTGCCCTTGACTGGAGTCGAACCCCAGACCCTTCAGTCTGAGGGCTGGCGTTCTATCCACTGAGCCAAACCGTCTAGGGCTTTATTAATTTCAGAGAGAGGAAGAGAGAAGTAGGAATATCATAATTAGAGAGAATCATCTATCAGTATGCCCCTTACTGGGATGGATCCCGCAACCCATGCATGTGCCCTGACTGGGAATCAAACTGTGACCTCCTGGCTCATGGGTTAAAGCTCAGTCACGGAGCCACTCCTGCTAGGCTGTTTTCTTTTTCTTAAGAAAAGCTCCCCCAAACCTATAAGAGCTTCAGGGACCACAACTATGTGTCCATCCCTGCCCGTAGGTAACTCTTACATACACCAAAGTTTAGGAACCACTACACTTGAACACAGTTTGATTTTTGGCAAAACAGCTTTTTTCCTCCATACCCTTGGGTTTCCTGACAAGATTATAAATTCATGTTGCCCTTTAGTGTCTGAAACAGACACTACCCGACTGGTTCAGCTCAGCTGCTTTAAATCCAATTTCCCCATGAAGAGTGGATTCAGCCTTTGCATATAAGAAATTGATGGGCACCTTCTCTACAACAACTACAAGACAAAGAGACTAGGTCTCCAATACTTTCTAAATTAAGAATGGTACCCACTTTTGTAGAATTACAACATTAAGAATGGGTCTCAAAGATTAAGTGTCCAGGATGGTACACATGCTGCTACCCTTTAATTCTGTTTTGGCTGCACATATCAATAATCAACCATAGTGCAACTAGAAGATGAGTAAGTTCTGGAAATCTAATGCATAGAATAGTGAGTACAGTCAACAATACTGCATTATGCTCTTCACAATTGCTAAGAGACTAGATCTTAAATGTTCTCACCACAAAAAAGAAAAGATAATTATGTCCCGTGATGGAGGTGTTAGCTAAAGCTACAGTAGTAATCATATTACAATATGTAAATATGTCAGATCAACACATTGTACACCTTAAACTTACACAATGTTATATGTCAATTATATCTCAATTTTTAAGAAATCAAGCACAGCACTCTTTCCACCCAGGAATGGTATCAGAATCTTTCTTATCACATTGCATCAGACACTCAATGCCAACTTATTTGTCATCTCTAGTTTAGGTTAATATTTTTCATAATTTTGTTTCTTTTATATATATATATATATATATATATATATATATATATATATATATATATATTTCCTTTATTGATTTCAGAGAGGAAGGGAGAAGGAGAGAGAGAGAGATAGAAACATCAATGATGAGAGAGAATCATTGATTGGCTGCCTCCTGCACACCCCACACTGGAGATCAAGCCCGCAACCTGGGCATGTGCTCCTGGCTGGAATCGAACCTGAGACCCTTCAGTCCGCAGGCCAATGCTCTGTCCACTGAGCCAAGCCAGCTAGGGCATTGTTTCTTCTAATATTGGATGATGAGCTCATGTAAATTAGTATGATTTTGTCATCTGGTATATTTTTAGTTCTTTACTCCAATCTACATTATCATTTCTACTGAATATTGGAAAAAACTGGTCTGAAGGGGACTATAAAGTTTAGTTTAGAATTACAGGAAACCATGAAGCAGCAACTCTGAATTTTTCCCATGAACAAAATAAGCTGCTAAATAATAAAAGAAATTAATAAAAATAGTAATAAGTAATTTTATACAAATTGCCTTATTTGAGCCACATAGAAATCATGGGAGGGAGCTAGGACAGAAATATACATTTTTATTGATACTTACACTGATGCCCAGAGAGGTTATGTGACATTGCCAAGGTCACACAGGTGGTAGAAACAGAACTGAAGTCCAGGTCTTTTCATTCCTATACTGGATTTACTGGCTTATTCATCTATTCCATAAAATTTTACCGAAAGTGCCAATTTTACTTCTGTGTGCCAAGTTCCCACTTTCCAGAGGCTTACAGTCTATGTTCATAACAAGTTAGCATTTAGAAAGTACATACAAAATCAGATGGGGCATGGAGTCAGGTGTAGTGAGAATGGAAAAGGATTAGTAAAAAATATGTGGTCCCTTAGACCTAGGTCTCTGCTGCTTTTCCAACAGAGTGAGATTGTTTGGGCCTGATTCAAGGAATGAAGTAGAATTGTTGTGCAGCTGGGATCCAAAGTATCTGCAGACCCAGGGCCTTTTCCATCCAAGGCAAATAGGTCAAGTAAGGGGTAGATGGGGCTCTTTGTTGGTAGGTTATAGGGTCCAACAAATTGTAGGTTTTCATACTAAGTGCACCTTGCAGATACTTTCTCTGTGTAAGCACAATAACTTTCCCTAGAATTATTGGGAAGCAAAGAGGAAAAATGATGAGTACTTGGAATTATACAGGGTTTTGTACTTAGCTATTTTTTGGCGCTACATTAAAAAATACCCATTTGCATCCTTCTTTATCTTTCCTATTTTCTTTTGATCTCTAGGTTGGACAAAATGCTCCCAACTCAAACTCAATGAAAGCTGCCGGAATCACTGTTATCCACCAGACATACTTCTGAGAAGTTCTGCTCTGTCTCACACACTGCATGATGGATACTATACTGTCTTCTCACTATTATTAATCAAGATGGGCAGATTCTTGCCATTTCTGCACTCGTATCTTCAGCAGGAACATTGCAATCAATCAGTAATGCCAGGCCAATGAAGGGGGAGCCTAGGCTTATCAATCAATTATCCTCATGCCACTGGTACTGACTGAGTCACAAGCCTCTGAGATTCACTTTGTACTTCCATAAAAGTGGATATCTTCTCATCCCATCAAGTGAAAACAGAAAGTCTTCCCTAAAAGGTTTAAACACAGCCTCCAAGGAATGGCGAAGAGCAGCCACAAGTGTGGCACAGTTCACCAACTCCTCTGTTATCTTCACGGGTGACTTCATGCTCACTGACTCTCAACTGGCTTAGGGTGGTGGTTCTGTTTTCCCAAGGTTTTATGATTGAGCCTCTGCCACCACAAGTAGCTATGAACACACTGATGATGAAGGGAATGTGAATTTAAGCATTCCAAGGTGTTAGAGACTGCATATCATAGGACCCATATGAGGTCTCCTGATAATGCAGAGTTCCTAAAGTGGCCCTGATATTGTACCCTACCATAGAGTGAGCAGTGTACATTCTGAATAAGGTCACGGGGGCAATGATTATCATAATCATTCTCAAGGAGGTACAGCTATAAGTCAAGTCTGACCTGCTTAAGTAAGAGTTTGGTAAGAAAGTGGAAAGAGATTATGCCAAAGCAGGATTTAGGTAAAAAGGGAATGTTGGGGGCAGATAAAACTGTTACCCTGCCTTTTTTCATAAAAGGCTGAAACCATTCTATTTTGTTGTGGTGAAATGTGCCTGTTTCTAAATAATTCTGTTTTCTTAGTTCTCTGATAAAAACCATATACTAATTGTAGTTTTCTTTTACTTCAAATATTGTCCAAAAAATAATGATTCTCAAAACTGTACCAACAGAGGAATATATCTTGCCATAAACCCTGAATTAATATTCAAGCAAGTCTGGAAAAGATGGAACAGAAATAAAGCATGATTGATGGTAGTTTTCAAGGAAGCCCTAGAGACCCTTTAGGCATCCTAAAGTCCATGGAGCCTTGAAAATACAGCAGGTGAAGACAACAGAGCACTGGGGCTTGCACTTGAATAAATGAGTATATGATTTGCACACTTCCACTGATTCACATCACCTCCAGTTTATCCTGCAACCTGTGGTTCAGTCTGACCATGAAATAGGAAAAACAAAACAAACAAAAAACAAAAACTTGTTCCTTCCCAAGACCATGAGGGAGGATGATAAGAAGCATTCTATACTTAGAAGCTCTTGGTCTAGAATTGATGCCTACATTCATCCCCACCCTCCCAGCCTCATCCACCACAGATGTCCTTTAATCCAGAAACATGAGATTTTTTTTTTAATAATTTTTATTTCTTAAAGTATTACAAAGAGTATTACATATGTCTCCTTTTTTCCCCCTCCTTGACATTCCCCCAGCCCCTACCTCCCCCCCCCGCCCCCCCCCCCCGGTGTCTTGTGTCCATTGGTTAATCTTATATGCATGAATATAAGTCCTTCGGTTGATCTCTTAATCCCCCCCCAACCCTTCCCAGGCTTCCCACTGTAGTTTGACAGTCTGTTCAATGTTGCTCTGCCTCTGCATCTACCCCTGTTCATCAGCCTATACTGGTCCCCATTATCTGTCCCAACCTCACTGGAGCAGTCCCAACCTCACCAGGGCCGTCTCAGCCTCACCGGGGCCGTTTCAACCTCACCGGGGTCATCCCGACCTCACTGGGGCCGTCCCGACCTCACCGGGGCCGTCCCGACCTCGCCAGGGCCGCTTCAACCTGACCTGGGCCATCTCGACCTCACCGGGGCTGCAGAAACATGAGATTTATCAGGAGATGAAATCTGGGGCAAAGTCTACACCCATTAATGCTTCTGCAAGAGTAAAATTTAAATAACATTTATAGTGACTTTCTTTAAAGAAATTCACAGATGGGATCAAAATCATTTATTTTGCTTTAGGAACTTGTTTCCCCTGAGGGAAGGCCCCTCTGAGGATTTTCTGACTCCCTAATCGGTGATCATTTAGAATCCCCGTATTCTCTTAACAGAGGAGATCTCTGAAAACTAAGAAATGGACGAGAGAAATAGCAGAAGGGAGGGGAGCTTGGGATGGGCAACTCAGTCTGCAGATCACTTCACAGCAGGACACAATTCTCCCTGTCACCACTATAGAGTAGGCTATAGTCTCAACTTGATAAAACACTCTTTGTGTGGCGTGCCAATTATTCCTCTGGGAAGTGACTAGTTGGCAAGATTTTTATTTCAAGTTCTTTTTCATTAAGTTACCACCCTTTGTTTTTCAATTATTAAAGTACATTATCATTACAACAATATTTAGAAAATACTGGAAAATCTAAAAGTAAAAATATTATAACTAATCCTTCCTCCCAGAGATAACCACTGTTAATACTTTGATGTACCTCTTTATAGATATTATATATATACATATACATATATATATATATATATATAATCCTTATACATAAAAAGACACATATTACACAAATAAGATCATACTCTTTATACCATTTTAAAGTTGCCATCTCTTTTTTGGTTAGCATATTACTGCTATATTCCAGTCAAGTCTTAGAAAGGACTAGAAGTCATTCCACCGTTTCTAAGGGTCTAAATCACCTCAATAGTTTTTTTTTAATCCTCACCAGAGGATATGTTTTTCATTGATTCTAGAGAGAGTGGAATGGAGAGGGAGAGGGAGAGGGAGAGGGAGGGAGAGAGAGAGAAAAAGAGAAACATCAATGTGAAAAAGATACATACATTGACGAGTTGCTTCCTGGACATGCCCTGACTGGGAACTGAACCCAAAACCTGGGTATGTGCCCTGACCAGGAATTGAACCCACAACCCTAACCAACTGAGCCACACCAGCAAGGGCACCACAATACTTTTTGATAGATGCAATGATTACGGTAGGAAGTTGCTTAGGGCAGAGAAGGCACATTAACAGAAACTTCCAATTTAAACTTTTGAAGGTATTGCTGAATGACATTAATCGTTGTATGTGTGTGTTTGTTAAAGCATGACTTATTCAATATAAACTTAAAATATACAATCTTATATATTTTGCCATTTCTTCATTTTTTAGATACACCCGTGTTCTCAAAAAATCAACATGACCCAGGACCAGGCCATTAGGGTCCCTTCTTTTCTGTACACCTAGGCTAGTGCAAGAGGCTACTAATCACAGAGGGACTTAAAAGGTGGCTCTAGACCTAATTGTTCTTCCCCTTCTCCCATCTTGGTTTTGAGCCCCTTTAAGCACCCTCCAGCAGATTCTGACCTAGAGCACTTTTCCTATGTGTACGTCCAGAACTAGCCATTTTCCAAGGAAGACTTGCTATATGTACTTATGGCTAGGGGCTAGGAACCCTTCTCTTTTTTTTGTCCTGCACAGGTTGACAGTCTTATGGCTCCTCCTCCCCTCACACTCTGATCCTCCACACCTTCTCTCCCACTTTCAGAAAGGTTTTCATTTTAGAGTTCATACAATGGCCCCCATGTTGCCTTGAGTTGCCATTTATCTTTTTATATACTAGTATACTTCCTAGTTTGTATCCTTGGAGGTTGTAGTGTATTCTCTACATCTACATTTGTATACTTCTATATTACTCTGTAGCCAAAAAAGCACTATGTTCATAGTAGACATTCAGAAAATGTTGGTAACATCATACTACTAAATGGATAGCTGAGGATATCATATCTGATTTTCTAGGAGAAAATGAAGTAACTTTTATTTTACATCAAAGCTGCTAATGGTTAACCAGGCGGATGCAAATCAATGAAAGGCCATCCTGTAATTGTTGGTAACACTTGAATTCATCTCTCTAGACTTACATGCTTTTCTCTCTCAGATATTTTAAATGTTTTATTTTTAATTTTTAATCCTCACCTGAGGATATGTTTTATTGACTTTAGAGAGGAAGGGGGAGACAGAGAGACAGAGAGAGACACATCAATCAGTTGCCTCCTGCACGCACTGACTAGGGATCGAACTTGCAAACTATTGGTGTACGAAATGATGCTTCAGCCAACTGAACCACCCAGCTTGGGCTTCTCTCATATTTCCTTATCTCATCTTTCTCTTCTTGCTCTGTATTCTAACACCTTCCCTTTCCTTCTTTTTCTTTCCCTTATTCAGTGACCGGACTTGCCAGTCACCCAATACTAAAAATTTCCACTCCCAGAGAATTTAGATCCATGTCTATACTTAAGTTCCAGCCCCCAAAGCCTTTTTTTTCTACCTAACCCTGCTTCACCTGCTACAGTGTAACAACTAATGCACTTTGAGCTGTTATTTACCAACTTTCACCAAACTCTTGTGAATTTGCGCCACCCAGTGGCTGAAGTTGCCAACTTCATCCTCTGAAAAAAGCGGTGGGCAAAAATAACAAATGAGAAAGAAGTTATATGTGCCCTAAATGATGGCTATAAGTGCCCCAATTCACAACAGCCGAATTTTGTCCTATTTTAAGTTATTTTCTAAAACTTAAAATAGGATGGAGAAATATATGTTCAGAGGTATAAGTGTCATGGTCTCCCCAAAATAAGATGATATCCAGAAGACTCTTTTAGCATTTCTTCAGATCACTACTGCTCCCTACCGCTCCAAAAATGAATAAATAGTGCAGACTACAGGGTAAAGTCCTAATTGCCCTCTAGAAGAATCAAAAATTCAACAGAAGAGACACTGACTTTGAAGACATAAGCTATACAACACAATATCATATAGCAATTTAACTTATTTATTCTACAATAAATTTCCTTAGACATGTTTATGTCTAGGACATATGCCAAGGAGTAGAATTCATTGTTCAACTTTGCTAAATGCATATTGTTTTCCAATGCCCCAGCGGTAAACAGAGTCTCTATTATTTCACACCCTAACTTGGAAATCTCAGACTAAAATTTTTGCCAATCTTTTGGCTATAAAGTATGTAGTATATTGTTGTTGTTCTTATGTGCATTTTCATGCTTACTAGCAAAGTTGAGCATCTTTCCATATATTTATTTGCTTCAGATTTTCTCTTGCTTGCTTATAACCTCTCCCTTTTTTTCTACTGGGTGATTAGTTTTTTGTTTTTTTTTTTTAATTGAGCTGTACAGTCTTGTATTCGTGACTATACAGTAGGCCCTATGAATCTGTGGGTTCTACATCCACAGATTCAACCAACTGTGGATAGAAAATGTTGTGTTTTTTTTTTAATGTCACATTGTTGCTGACATGTATCACGTTGTTAGTTCTGTTTTGTGGGATTTTTAGACATACCTGTCAATAGCTTTTTAAATGCAGCCATAGAAGGCAATATGAAAATAGATTCTTGGAGGCAATGGGACTCGCAGAGCTTCAGAGCCTGACAGTTGCTTATTTATGGGTATATCTGCATATCAAGGAATATTACATTAGAAACACACTGTAGACTGCAACATGTTTCACAAAGGATTAGTATTCAGGAATATAGTAGTCTCCTTTATCCATGTAAGATGTGTTCCAAGACTCCTCAGTGGATGCCTGAAACCGAAGATAGTACCAAACCCTATATATACACTATGTTTTTTCCTATACATGCATACTTATGACAAACTTTAATTTATAGATTAGGTAAGTAAGAGATTAACAATAATAACTAGTAATAAAATAGAACAATTATAACAACACACTGTAATAAAAGTTATGTGAGCCCTAACCGGTTTGGCTCAGTGGACAGAGCGTCGACCTGCGGACTGAAGGGTCCCAGGTTCAATTCCAGGAGGGGGTGTGCAGGAGGCAGCTGATTGATGTTTCTCTCTCATCGATGTTTCTAACTATCCTCTCTGTAAAAAAATCAATAAAATATATTTTAAAAAAAAAGTTATCTGAATGTGATGTCTCTCTCCTCCCCACCCCAACCTGGGATAAACTGGGCAAATGGATGATTCATGTCCCAGGAGGGACAGAGGAAATGGGGCAAGCTTTCATTATGGCATGCAATTTAAAACATGAAGTGTTGGAGAAACCAAGATGGCGGCATAGGTAAACACCTGAAATTGCTGCCTCGCACAACCACTTCAAAAATACAACTAAAAGACAAAACGGACATCATCCAGAACCACAGGAAGGCTGGCTGAGTGGAAATTCTACAACTAGAAGGAAAGAGAAAAGCACACTGAGACTCAGGAGGTGCAGAAGTAAAGTGCAGAGGTACAGAGGCACACGTGGAAAGGGCTGGCAACTGAGGACACAGTTGTCTTTTTCAATCGGGAGGGAGACACAAGCTCCTGACTGCTCTTAACGCCAGTTCCGGGCAAGT